ACAAATTATAAATATTTATATATATAAAATAATTATATATTAAATATATATAGTTATATATGCTTAATATATATTATATAAATACAATAATAGATATATACAAGCATACGAAACTAATACATTTTTACATATTTCTAATAAATAATTCATATATTTAAAGCTGTTGTTTTTATTGTAGCACTTTCTTATATAATACTTATTTAAAATTTATCGACGTCTAATAATAAACGCAAATGTATTATTAAAACCATTATGTTATGACAAGTACATATATGTTAATCCCAATAAATCACAGAAAGTCAGAAATCCGAAAAATAAACACAAAAAAGTAATTTAATTAATCCCTACTAATTCACAAAATTTTCAGATCACTCTGCAAAAATGAATTCAAAGGAGTCTCTTCTAATGATAAAACATCTGCTACTTAAGCCAGTATATTTTTCTCAAAGGACAGTTAAAATTGTATGTTAGATCCAGATAGCAAGAACATGCTTCCACTATGTTATAAATAAATCTCAACAATTTCGTTTCAAGGATAGGTGGGTTAAGCCGGAGGCCTTATGCCCAAAGCTCACTTAAGCTCATATAATGACCCGTTGTAGTACCCCAACGTTTAACGTTTGTACATGCGCCAAGTAGAGGTCAGCTTAAGAGCAACGTGGAAAGGCATGACTCCCCAATTAGGTAAAGATGGGTGGTAAAAAAAAAGAATTATATGGAATGTGAGAGGAATTAGACTATGGGTAGGTAGTAACCGAAACTATTCTGGATAGACTTGCGACTTTAATGAGGCGAAGCATTAAATCAATATGGCTCAAATTAGAGTGTACATTTTAATAAGAAAACACAACGTTGTCATGAGAAGTGGAGTTACTGTTTAGCATATCGCTATATCCTGAGCACTGGACACTGGCCACAATTGAATAGGACAGTTCTTTCTACACAAAGAAAACGTCTTTCATCTTTAGAGAGATTTGTTGCTATGCAAACGTGGTGTTGAAGATGACAATACAACGCAATAAACCCTTGTTTATACTGGACCTTCCAGTTCTTCACTCTGTTGTTATAATTTTTTTATTTATTGAGAGATGGATTGAGAGATGCAACGTAGAGTAAAAGCGCTACTGATTGTATTTTCAATCTCTTAAAATAAATTAAATATTAAATATGACAAATAATAAAAATTGTTATCTTTTGGGGAAAAAAAGTACTCCGTCCAAAATAGATAGATCAAAATTAAATTAATCAATAATCTACTGATTTGATAATCTACTGAGTCGTAATAATAATATAACCAGTTCAAAATATAGAATATTATAAATAACGATTAATAATGAATATGTCTGATATATATTTTTAATATGTCTGTCTGATATTCTATAACTTTCTAATTATTTTATTTTGCTTACAAGTTTTTCTACAATTAAAAATAGTTCGAAATATGAAACTGATTCGAATTTGCTTAATGAATTAATTTATTCTACCGACTAGTAACAGTAAAAAACTGCGTTGCAATTATTATATAAAGAATTTATTTTTATTTATTTCATATATAATATTTTACAAATGTATTTATCATTTATTTATAAACAATTGAATTGAATGTATTGCCAATAAAAACAAAATAAAATTTTAACTGTAGTTATATTTCGCTAATGTAAAAATCGTTTTGCAATTTAAACCGCAAATCCATTTATAAAAAATATATTCATATATCTACATATATATATAATTTACGATGTACTGTATAAATGTGTATAATTTTCTATTAACAAATACTACAACTGGAATGTCTTTTTTTGTTATTGTTCTGTAGTTTTGCATATATATTATGCAAACGGTGCGATTTGACACTTTACTTTCTCAGTTCCACTGCTAACACTGCATAAATTATACCCTGCCTTCAGGTGGAATGTCATTGGATTGGCAATAACCGTTGCCATTCGCTTTGGCACTGTTTTTGCACGTATATTGGAACATGATCTTGACATTGTCGGAATAATTTCTAGCTAAATCGTACTGAATTGCATCAGCACCCATGTAACAAGCACCGTAAGCGCTGCTTTTTGTTAGAGTGACTAGATTCAAGCGAAATGGTACCGTATATAGACTGAGCTCTTTGATAAAACCCTCACGTAGCAATTGCCAACTATGCCAAACTGAACCGACACACACAATATTCAATTCACCTGAGTCAACTAGGCTGTGACTGACTTTTGGCAATAGTGCAGTTATGCTGCGTGCAATTTGTCGACCGGCATCGGTAAATAGAGATTTCGCCAGTTCGTTGTCCTCTTCAACGGCGACAAGTGCTAACTTCTTACAGAGACTAGCATAGAATGATTTATCAAATTTTGCATAGCAATGAGGCAATAAATCCAAACGAGTTTTTATATTAAAATGTTGCTGTATTAGCTCCCAAATACGTTCCACCGGGTAAGGTGATTTTGCAAAATTGTCCATATCATCGAAGACTGTTTTCATGGCGCGATGCGATATATGCCAGGCTGAAATAGAAAATGATAGAAACATGAATAAAATATTTAATATATGTTATACGTGGAAGTTTAATATCTTTTTTTTTTGAGAGTTGGAGTATATTTTACGGCTTTTAGGTTTCTTTAATTCTACCCTTTCATCCTTAAACTCTATCACAATGGTACAGATATTACTCATTTAATGAAATTCTAAATAATTTTAGTAAGAGTTATTATCTTTGAAAGGGTTTTAAGGGAACATTAAAGCGTCCTCTATACATTTATGGTTAAAATGGTTTTAAATTATAGACATTATATTAACAGTTTATATAAGTGATCAAACGCTTTAGACTTTATAGTGTACGCTACATATAATGTGTAGCAAACACATAGATAAATTAGCAAGATTATCTTAGCAAGAATTTGTACTTTTGCTTATGCCAGATTCCACGTCCATGTTAATACTTAAGTGTTACTCTCATCAATTAAGTCTAAAATAAATATTTTCTATAAGCTGTATTTTGAAGCTTCTGGTATTCATTTCTAATAATTCTGCGGGGTTCTCGAAAAAGAATTTTCATGAATTGTGTTTAAATTTTTTATTAAGAGCTTTCTAAGATTTACACAATAAGTGAGCGCTTAATAATTCAACGTTCTCTTTTTAGTAAAGGTCGCAAAAATCGTCGGTAGTATGATTAATCTCTGTGTATGGCTGCTTATTTGCCACTATCTGATTATAAGGAAGAGCTGACTTTAATTTTACCTATGTAAATAGTAAATGATTATTCGGCAATAATGGCTTAAAGGGAGAGTTGATAATATCGATTTCCTGTTCTATCAGTTATATAGTTTGCTAGTATTAAATTGTTGTCTTTAATCTTGGTACAAGTGCTCTCACTTTGTCAATTAATTTGTGCTCTCTGTATGAGAGAGCATTATATTATAGATTTACAGGTATTGAAGGCGGCGGACAAACCGGTTTTTATTTATAGCGTGGAATGTCTTATGTCGGTGAGAAACACAAAATATCCACCATAGTCGCAAATCTATGCTCCACTGGGAACTAGTGCCCTGTATATTCTCTAATATATTCTATGGGAAATATTATTTTCAATTAAAAAAAGTATCAAAAAGTTAGCTAAAATAAAAATATTTTTTTGCTAGTATTATATGATTTACATATATATATTATATATGCAAAAAAAATTAACAAAAGTATAAAATAATATATAAATAAATAAAAATATAAAGAAACTTATAATATACAATTACTAACAGATTAAAAAAATATATTAATAAAATGTAGGAGTACATAAATTAATATAATTTATATATAATATACATAAATATATTAAATTAAATATACTATTTGTATATAAAAAAAGAAATTTCTACTTAGTGTGCATTGTTTATAGCATGAGATATAAGAGGTTCAATGAAATTCTTCCTTTTAAAAAATTTCAAACCAGTTTATATGTAAACAAACACTTGCTATTTTTTTTAATACATTTAATTATTGTCTATATTTATATATTATATTTGCAAATAAAAAAAAAAAATTTAAATATATGTCATTTATTTGTTATCAGTGAATTTTTAGCGACAATTAAAAGCCTCAAAGCAATAATAAGGTCAACAACGTAATTGCAATTAATAAACAGAAAAAAACAAACCTTGTTCTTGAATAGACTAAATATATTTAAAAATGACTTACCACTACCCTCATCGCCTAGAAAATGTCCCCAACCACCGCAATTGTGTGTGCTACCATCAGGATTTTTTAGCAAAGCATTTGAACCAGTTCCGGATATAACAACCATGCCACCGATTGGAGAGGCAGTGAAAACACTGCCCATAGTATCACTGCAAACAACATAGCTATCTGAGATGTCGGGAAAGGAATTACGCAGTTCCAGCGAAAGCTCACGATTTGATTCTTGCTGTAGTGGGAATTAT